TGTGTTCAGTTTTTGTTTATTTATTTGTTTGTGGGGGTAGTTTACTGGGAATTTAATCCAGCAGTGCTTTACCTTTACCTTTACCTTTGAGCCTCTTCCCCAGTCCATTTATTTATTTATTGGTTGATTGGTTGGTTGGTTGGTTGGTTAGTTGGCTGGCTGGGGGGACTGAACTCAGGGGCACTCAACCACTGAACCACATCCCCAGCCCTATTTTGTACTTTATTTAGAAACAGGATCTCACTGAGTTGAACTTTCAATCCTCCTGCCTCAGCCTCCCAACCTGCTGGGACCACAGGCATGCGCCACTGTGTCCAGCTTATTTTTTATTTTGAGACAAGTTCTCGTTAATTTGCTGATGCTGTCCTCAAACTTGCAATAATCCTCCTGCCTTGGCCTCCAGAGTTACTGGATGGTGTACCACCATGCCCAGATTCATGTGTAGCTTTAAGAGCTCTCTTTTGAGAGAAACCAATGAACTGGAAATGTGTTTGGCGGAACAGTAACAGGAATAACAAACACATCCTCAAATAAAAACAAAATAAATTGGAACGCTGAACTGGGGGAAAATAATACAAGGGGTAAATGATAGTAATCTTTAAATGGTGAGACTTCCTCTTTGTCGCACTAAAGAACAAATAAGAGCAATGGTAGAAGTTATAAGGACAAAGATGTTAGCTTAACAAGGTAGAACTGAGTAATCACAAGTTATTTTGTGACAGAACAGACAACTTCCTAAAACAATGTTCATCCTGTATATTCAAAAGGAGAAACTAAATGAGCATCATGGTAGGTTAGCTTTTATAGAGGACTTTAAGAATCCCTTTCAAATTTAAAATGCTAACAAGTATCAAAAATGGCAGATGATTGAATCAGATGGTGCTAGACAAAGCACCCTAGCCTGATGTCCCAAGAAATAAAGTTATATATGGCTCAGGGTGTAGTTCAGTGGCAGAGCTCTTCTCTAGCTAATCTGTGAGGCCTGGGTTCCATCCTTAGCACTGAGAGATAAAAGAAATGGAAAGAAAGTTAAGGCAAAAAAAAGGAAAAACACCAACTCTCATTGTAATCAGCATTTTTTTTTTGGGGGGGGGGGGGGGTACCAGGGATTGAACTCAGGGGTACTCAACTACTGAGCCACATCCCAACCCTATTTTGTATTTTATTTAGAGACAGGGTATCTCACTTAGCACCTCGCCATTGCTGAGACTGGTTTTGAACTCACCCCACCCAGCACCAACATAGCTATTTATAAACAAACCACAATGCTGTTACTATCACTCTGCCAATTTGCTTTGGGCCTCACCTCTTCTATGATTTTTAAAATTCCTCTATGCAAAATTTTGTAATCTAAGAGCCCTGTGAACTCTTGCAAAGTTGTCAAGAAAACTGTTTCCTTCTTAATTAATTAAGCTTTTCAACTAAGCAAATCATTATACTTAGTGACACATAACACCAATGCAAAACAAGAGAAACTATGTCTTTTATTTTATTGTGCTTTCTTTTTTAAATAATACATTGTGTATTTTAGTTTTAAGAGAAACTGAGCAAAAAGTACAGAGGTTCTTTTATAGAGGTTCCCATATACTCTCCTTTCCTTCCCCACCCCTCAATTCCCACCTGTGTGTGTGTGTGTATGGGTGGGTGTGTGTGTGTGTGTGTGTGTGTGTGTTATGCTTAAGAGTTCAAACCCAAGGTCTTGTGCAAGCTACTCAAGTGCTCTACAACTAAGCCACACCCCCCAGCCCTATTCTATTTTTTAGGGTGGGGGGTAAATGTGATTGAACTGAGAGCCACATCTCCAGCCTTATTTTGCATTTTACTTAGAGACATGGTCTCACGGAGTTGCTTAATGGCCTTGCTGTTACTGAGGCTGGCTTTGAAACCTGTGATCCTCCTGTCTCAGCCTGCAGAGCAGTTGGGATTACATGCGCGAGCCAACGCACCCAGCCTCACTATTTTTAACATCTTGTTTTAGTGTAGTATATTTTATGCAATTGATAAATTAATATAAGTCTATTATTATTAAGAATACACTGTACATTAGGATTTACTATGCCATTATACATTCAGTGTTTTAGGGTTTTCTTAATTTTACTATCACTCTTTGCCAATTTGCTTTGGGCCTCACCTCTTCTATGTGATTAAATACACAAAACATAAAATTTACAATTTTAACCTTTTTTTTAAAAAAGAGAGAGAATTTTAATATTTATTTTTAAATTTTTGGCGGACACAACATCTTTGTTTGTATGTGGTGCTGAGGATCGAACCCAGGCCGCACGCATGCCAGGCGATCGCGCTACCACTTGAGCCACACCCCCAGCCCAACAACTTTAACCTTTTTAAGCATACAGTTCATCAATGTTAAGAACACTCATACTTCTGTGCAATCTCCAGAATTCTCTTCACCTTGCAAAAGATAAATTCTTTAACTCTTATTACACTTTTTTCTTAAGTACAATACTTACTAGATAGTTAAATTTTTAAATCTAGCATCTTCACATAATCTTTTTCAACTTTTCCTGTAATCTAAAATTCCAATTAAAATATTCAACATCTATAAAAATTTAATTTTGCTTTATTTTTACCATATAATTAAAAAAGAAAACTTAGCTTCAACATCAAAACTACATATTCAGCCAGAACCACTTTTTGTGCTCCTGTAAGAGGTAGAGATATAATGAAGAAATAGATTCAGTTCTTTTACTTTGACATTAACAATTCTATGTTTAATATTACCAAAATACTGTGCTACATTTCTAGAGACCACAAAATAATTCTTTTAACACAAATTCTGAGGCTTTAACAGATTTTTATTTGCAAGAAGGAAAAGAAGAAGCTAGAAAAAATAGCCTGTTAACTGGTGCCTACAGATAAAGAGAAACTAACCCTAGATATCCCAGCTTATTTTGCCTGAAAAATGAGGATTTTTTTTTCCTATAAGAATAAAATCTATCTTGGTTTGATCACTATACATTATACAGTGAAATGTATTAAAATGTCACACTGCATCTTATAAAAATACACAATTACCACCTGTGAATTAAAAGTAAAAATCTGTTTTAAAAAGTGATATACTGAATAATCAGAAAGGAGGCTTCATTAAAAGTTTGATTAAAGATATTTTATAAACCTTTAATCAATTCAGTCATGTTTATATTCTCCAATATAAATAAATGTTATACATTTATCCTTTCCTCTCTTTTTTTTTTTAAAAAATTTTACTTTTTTAGTTTTAGGTGGACACAATATCTTTATTTTACATTTATGTGGTGCTGAGGATCAAACCCAGTACTTTGTGGATGGTAGACAAGCACTCTACCACTAAGCCACCACCCCAGCCCCTCCTCTCTTTCAATCACTTCCTTAGTCTAATCCCTACTTATATAATACATTTCTGAACATTTCCCTGCCCCCACTCTAAAATATAACAAAGGATTAGTACGAAAGACCACATTAGGGCTCAGTAGAGTGCTTGCCTACTGTGGATGAGGTCCTGGGTTCAATTCCCAATAAAACAAAACAAAAACTCATTTCCATCAATGGTTAAAGTTATTTAACCTTCCTGTGCCTCAATTTCCTCATCTGTTAATTAAGGATTAAAAAATGACTCATAAGGGCTGGGTAGTGGCTCAGTGGTAGAGCGCTTGCCTAGCATGTGTGAGGCACTGGGTTCGATTCTCAGCACCACATATAAACAAATAAAATAAAGGTCCATTAACAACTAAAAAATATTAAAAAAAAAAAAAAAAGACTCATAGTACTCTATTTCTGCATATTGGGCACTCAGAAGTTGACAAACTATTAAATCAAAGAATAAATAACTCATAAAATTATTAAACATTACATTTAACATGACAAACATCAGCTATGTGTAAAGCGTTTACCACACTGCCAGGCACACTGAAGGCTCACATTAAATAGAAGTTACTGCTATCATCAAAATCTTCAGTAGGTTCACATTTCCCACATTCTCCAATTTAAACCTTTTGTCCCATTTTCAAAAGAAGCCTGTAGTTATTTAGTTAGTCTTATTGTGTCTCGCCAATTAAATCTCCAACAAAGAATTCCCACTGAAATCAAACTACAGACAAGCCAACCTTATTTCTAAGGTTGTAGATCCTCATTAATAACTATCCTCTCAATGAAATACCTTTTATCTTCCCATGTCAAGTCAAATATCAACTCTTTGAGGAGTTCATATCCCCCTGTTCAGAAAGCATTTCCCAAGCACTCCTGCTTTTATTCATTTCTTTCTCTAAAACCCGTATACCCATTTATTTTGTATTACCTGCTACTATCTAATCTTTTAGGTAATTTGTAAATTAAAATATATATTTTACTTTCATATCTCCTAGCTGTCTGTCCCAAAAGCAAATGTATGGATATTATATTTAGTATAAATCAGTTGATCTATTAATGAGATTATGTGGTTGGGTGGTTAAGTTGATCTTCACTGTTAACTAACAAAGTGTTTCCCTTATTATACAATTATACATGTTAATCATTTTCTTTTTCATCCTTTCTTACAGTTTTCAAATAAAAAGAATAAAGTTAGGCTGGGAATACAGCTCGGTGGTAGAACACTAGCCTAAGTATGTGCATGCCCTAAATTCAAACCCAAGCACTACACACACACAAAAGTTATTGGGTATTCAATTACTCAAAAACCTTAACAATACTATTTCTATAGGTCCTAAGATTCTAAAATGTCTTGAATGAATGAAATAATACATAAATAATTGTCAGTGGAATTTTAACAATTATTTATTTTCTGTATAATTTTTTATTTTTTTAAATATCAGTGGTTCATGATATCCTATTATCCAATGTGCACAGTATTTTCTGACTAAAAGTTCAGTTTCTCATTTTTTTTCCCTAAAGCTGGTATTTTCATGACTTTATGATCAAAACACATAACTTCCTATTACAAAGTGATACTATCAATGTATTTAAATATATTTGAAACATCAAATATAACTTTAAAATATTCTTACCTAATCCTTTTTGTCCTGGATTCTTTGCAAAATTAAAAGTAAACTGGTAAAAATCCTTAAATCGTCCTGGTTCTTTCAATTCTTGTTCCATCTTGGGTATTTGGGCCTTTAGTTTTTCTATGCTGTCACATCTACATTATAAAATTAAGTTTATAAAGGTTAACTTTTTCACTATAAATTTAAAATTTCACTTATTTATTCCTATGAGGGCTTATATTTCCTAAGACTTCTTTTTTAAAATATCAGAGAGATGGAATTTCATCTTTTTACATGACATAAATAAGTACATAGTCCTCCCTTATCCATGGGGATACATTCCAAGACTTCCAGTGGATGCCTGAAAGCTTGGACAATACCAAATCCTACATACACTAAGCTTTTCCATATACATACATAACCATGATAAAGTTTAACTTATACATTAGGCATAGTAAGATATTAATAATCATACTACAATAAAATTTATGTAAATATGGACTCTCCCACTCTCAAAATATCTTACACTTTTTCACTTAAAGGAAGCATTTCACTTAAAGGAAGCAGCTTTCCTTTGGCATAAACAAATTGCCAACATCACTACTCTTGTACTTTGGGAATATTATTAAGTAAAATAAGGATTGCTTGAATATAAGCACTGGGATACTAATAGTTGATATGATAACTGAGACAGCTACTAAGTGACTAACAGATAGGTAGTAAATACAATGTGGATACACTGGACAAAGGAAGACTCACATCCCAAGCAGGACAGGACGGCATGAGATTTCCATCACACTACTAAGAATGATGCACAACTTAAAATTTCTGAATTATTTATTTCTAAAATTTCCCAATTAATGATTTGGGACCAGGGTTGATCATGAGTCACAGAAACCTCAAAAACCAAAACCACACATGGTGCAGGGAACTCTTATATGAGGTTAGCTGAGGGAAGAGGAGGTTGAGAGTGATGAAATGTTAGAAACAATTACTATTTTTGAAGGAAATGAGTTATTACTTTTAATCACATAATTCACTGAACTATTAATACACTGACTTTTAGAAGTCAGTTTTGGTGACTAGGTAAAAAATGTACAGCATTACAAAACATATCTTAAACCATATTAGACACTGCTTACATGGTAATCAAACACATGTCTAGCTTCCAAACTAACTGGAAACATGGTCTCTTGCCTAGGTAAGGAAGCATTCCTTTTGAAAACTTGTTTCCTATTATATAGAAAGTACAAATAAAAAACATCAGCTGAAAATCCTACAACCTCCAACTGAATTATCTCAAATCAATTACTTTTTTCTACATTGGCAAAATATTCAAATTTCAAAGAGCTAAAAAGGTTCAAGTACCAAGCCTTATCTTCCTCATAATAGTTTTATGATAGAAATATTCCATTTCTTAAAAACTCCACAAATCAATCCACATTTGGAAGTTCATCACATTTTATATGAATTCAGTTTCAAATGAAAAATAAAAACATGGTTTCTTTAACTTCTAACGAAATCTGTCCTTGGCATCAATAATTCCAGCAAATTCAAGAAAGAGCTGGCTGGGCTGGGGTTATGGCTCAGTGGTAGAGTGCTTGCCTAGCACATGTGGGGTGCTGGGTTCAATCCTCAGCACCACTAAAGAAAGAAAGAAAGAAAGATGTTGTATCCATCTACAGCTTTAAAAAGAAAGAAGGAAAGAATGGGTAACTTTGGCTTTAGAAAGTGTTTGGTCAAGTAATTAAATTTATTATCTCTCAGATTTAAACCCACCCTTCTCTGTTCAACTTTGTAAGAGTGGGTTACAAACTGTGACTTCATTTCTCTCACCAGCTTGCTCATGTTAGGCTCTACCAAGAGAGGGCAATAAGGTCAGAAGAGGAAGAAGGAACTTTTACCCTAGAGCTTGTTTTCTGCAGAGGGCAATGATTGTAGTGTGTGAAGAGGTCCCAGCGGTGCCCACCAGCAGTGGCAACTCTCATAGCTCCTCAGTAAGTGGCCTCTAACCAGTTTTTTATCCACCAGAGTGGAAGCTTCATCACAGGCATCCTGTTCCTACAGCAGCCACGCCCTCTGCCTCACTGTCTTGCTGGTTATCTCTTCAGTTCCTAAATTCCTTTGTGGTTTATTCATTTCACTCAGTCACAGGGGTGATAACAGATATTGCTACTTCTGTTATAACCAGAATTTTCTTTTACATAGTAAAATAGTTCATTAAATTTTCCTGGTCAAATTACTGATGTGTTTTTTGTGTCTTGACTGCACCTTGCTAATTATGATGGCCCTCAAGCTCAAGAGTGTCTGGGTTCAATCCTGATTCTATTATTTCCTAATTCTGTAATTTCTTTGAACCCCACTTTCTTCATCTCCAAAATGAGGTTTAAAAACACTACTTCTCTCACAAAGTTGTTGTGAAGAGGCAGGTAAAGTACTTAACACAGTTACTAAAACAAAATAATGCTCAATTAACCCTAGCTATTATTTAAACAGTGGGCCACTGAAAACACAAAGGGCAGCCTGTTATCTACCTATGACTGGATACTTTTATAATCTCATTAAGCAACTGGAGGTCATAATTAAAACCTTCATCTATAACTTTTCAATCTATTCAAAGACATTCAGCTAATCATCTGTGAAGGCAAAAGTGGAACAAAAGGCACTCAGTAACTTCTACCTTCCAGTTTTTAAATTCTAAAATTTTGTCAATTCAGAGTTTACAGCCTCACACTAGTAAATAACTTACAAACTTGCTCATTTCACTTTTCCATGTTAAATATTGATGCATAATACTTTTAATACTAGTGAACCTCTCTTAGAAACAAATGATGAAAATATAATGCAAATCAAATAGGTGATAGTAATTAAACAGGTAACTCAGCAAGCCCAGAACACTACTTAACATAAATAGCCTGTTAGCCTATTTCTACTTAAACTAATCTTTGTGAGCCAGTAAAACTTTTAAATTTACATTTAAAAATTGATGACATAATTCAGTTCCTGAATCCTCACGTGCTATATCTAATTTTCTATGGTGGTTCTATACTCACCCTAATTCTGTCATGCCATCCATGAACTCCTGTTTGGAGAACTCGCACTGTGTTGCTGCTCTGAACTTCCATGCAATGATCAACACACTAATGCTGGCTGGATCAAGTGCGAGGTCATCACAGAACTGCTGTATACCATCTATTCCAATTTTATTTTCATCTTGAGGATCTTTAAAAATAACAATGCAATATCAAGTTAGTGCCATAATTTCTTGTGCTGTATTCCTAAAACTGAAAAAGGTAATACTTTATGTTCCATTCTAAAAACCAAAAGACATGAAGCAACATTACTGTTTTCTCAAAATTTAAAGCCTTTAAGGTCCCCCCCACACAGCATTATTAAAGTGTACAAGAGTATGAGTATATATGCAGATGTGCACTTAATTTTCAAGTCTCACTCATCCGTGTGAAAAATAGCCAATACCTATACACTTTCAGAAAATCAGATATTCCTACACATGGGCAAAGGATTCTATTCAGAATTATCCATATTTTGCTTAAGCAAACATTCTAAATTAACAGTGCTACATATAGAAATTCTTTTTTTCTTAATGTTCATTTTATCACAACAATCACTTCTGAGTACCAGAAAAACTATAAACTATACAATCTTTTTTTTTTTTTACTTTTATTTATTTTAATGTGGTGCTGAGGATTGAACCAAGTTCCTCACATGTGCTAAGTGCCCTACCAGTGAGCCACGATACCAGCCCTCTATCTTAATCTCAACACTATAAGGAAAATTTCTAAATAATAGAAGGAGAAAGAGGCACTCTTACACTGCCATCAAATATGACTTGCTGCCAGACAGTGATGCACATGTGTAACCCCAGAAACTAGGGAGTCTGAGGCAGGAGGATTGCAAGTTCAAAGCAATCCTCAGCAGATTAATGAGGCATTCAGCAACTCAAGTGAGGCCCTGTCTCTGATGTGGCTCAGTGGCTCAGTGCTTCTGGGTTCAATCCCCAGTACCAAAAAAAAAAAAAAAAAACAATTTGTTAACATCTTCCTAAAATGAACCTGGCAATAACTCAACAATAAAAACCATGCACATCCTTTGACTATGAAACATGAATTTTACATATCATATCTCACTTTTTTTAGAGAAATTTTGAAACTGTACACATATTTATGCATAAACACAGAAGATTCAGAAGGGATCCATACAAGGCTATTAAATACTGGTTATATCAGAAGAATAAGGAAAAGATAAACTATTATTTTTTCTTTTATTTATTCACCTATTATATGCTATTAAATGTTTTTCCCCTTGCAATGCTGAAGATCAAACCCAGGGACTGGTACATGCTAGCTAGGCAAGCACTCTATCACTGAGTTACATTCCTAGCCCTGTTTAACTTTTTTTTTTTTTTTTTTAATATTTTTTAGTTGTCAATGGACCTTTATTTTATTTATTGATTCGTGGTGCTGAGAATCAAACCCAGTGCTTCACACATGCTAGGCAAGTGCTCTGCCACTGACATACAACCCAAACCTACCCACCCCCACCCCCACCCCCGTTTAACTTTTTTAAAAGTACATATTACTTATAATTCTTTAAAAAGCTGTTCTGTAAGTTTTCTTAAAATATGGCTCAGCTGAGCTTCACAAAAAGAGGGGAAGAAAAAATGGCCCCTTGTTTTCCTTTCTCAGATTGGAAAACAGGAAAGAAAAGATGTTGCTCGGTGGTCGAGTGCCCCTGAGTTCAATCCCGAGTACCCCCACCAAAAAAAAAAAAAAAAATCTGTTAAAAAAAAAAAAAATCCAAAAGGCCAAGATGAAATTTTAGTGAAAAGAGGAAAATAATTCCTCCTCTCAGATCTCTCAAATAATTTCAAGACCTGTAGAGTTCTAAACATACCCACTCAATTTATATTCTGTGCAGTATCTGATTTCTCACAACAAGCCCAGAACTTTGGAAAACTTGGATCAAAATATTTAAAGTCACAAGCAGACACTCACCTTTATATCTATTGTATAGTTGTTCTAACTTCTTCCTGTCCAATGATCCTTTTACACTCTCTCGTATATAAAGTTCAGGATTTTGGAAAAAATTATCTGTTGCAACATCTAACTTCCAGTCATTTTGAGAAAGACAACTTACTGCTGTTTTTTCACTAGATTGTGTGAAGATCATAAACTGACGAACTTTATCCTTCTGCGATGATTTCAACTTGTTCTATTAAAACCAGAAAATAAACTGAAACTCTATGTAAAATTACATAAGACTAAGTATTTCTTTATGATTAATTATTCTTAGTAATATTTTTCCTCATAAAAAATTAAACCATTTTAACTTAAAACTTATTTTTGATAATTATTAATCAGAAAGACATTTTTTTAAATTCTGAAAAAGATAAAATTTTAAAATTCTGAAACATGAAATTTGGTAGTTTTGGGAAAAGACATTAGCACACAGGCAAAGGAAGCTCAACCACAGCATCTCTCCTATAGTGCGTCCTGAGAGCATGCATAAAAGCTCTAGAAGGGAAGTGCAGCAAATCCTAAAACACTGACCCAAAACAAAATTCCACAGGAATAAATAAAGAGTGGTGGGAGAGAAGGTGACACTATCTAGCTAATCAGTCAAATGACTCTGGGGAACAATGATTAACAGGTATTTGTTAATCAGGTATTTGCTATGGTACCATGCTCCCCCAGCACTGTGAACCTTGTTTTCTTGTCATTTTTGGCTAATAAAAGTAATAGACATTCCTACATTTCTACCAGGAACCATAAAATTGATGGCTAGAATTTCCTCATGTCTTCATCCAAATGGGAAGCATCCTTCCCACTGAGCTACTTTTTTAATAGGATTTTTCTTCTGTTTCCCCTTAAGGAATCACCACTTTGCCTTAGCAAGAGCCCAACACAGGCTTCTTGCTCTCTCCAAACAGCCCTTATGCAAACCTTCCACTTGCCCACACTGACAAAGTTTCTTTTCTCATCTGACCTGAACCTAAAACAAAGTGAGGCAGGGCAATTAGGCCCCCAACTCTTCCCAAGTAACAAGAACCATGTCTTCTCCCTCAAGACCCAGCTCAAAAATATTCTCTGTAGCTGGCCTGGTGGGTCACGCCTGTAATCTCAGCAGCTAGTGAGGCAGAGACAGGAGGATCATGAGTTCAAAGCCAGTATCAGCGAAAGGAAGGAGCTGAGCAACTCAGTGACACATTATCCCTAAATAAAATACAAAATAGGGCGGGGATGTGGCTCGGTGCCCCTGAGTTCAATCCCCAGTACCAAAAAAAATCTGTTAAAAAAAATACATTCTCTCTCCTCTTCCACCCAGACTGGTTCCCCTGTGCACCTTATACAACCTTCAGCTTCCCCACTATTACTCTTGCCCCTCCTACCCCACACCAAGTGCCAGTTCTTCTATTCTACTTATGATAAACAAAGGGGAAAAAGTACTTGAGGTAAGGCAAACATTAAGCGGTATCTTATTTTTAATCTATATTTTGTTATTATTTTATGTGATGCTGAAGATCGATCCCAATACCTCACACGTGAGAGGCAATCACTCTGCCAATGAACCACAACCCCACCCCCAAGATGTATGCTATAGTTTAAGCAACACATCTAAGAACCCCAAAATCTCTAGTACGGTCCAAACCTAGAGATTACAAATCTTTTTCTTTTTTTAAGTTGTTGATTGACCTTTACTTATTTACTTGTATGTGTAGCTGAGAATCAAACCCAGTGCTTCACACACGCTACCACTGAGCTACAACCCTAAACCGAGACAATAAATCTTTTTTTTTAATATTTATTTTTTAGTTTTAGGTGAACACAATATCTTTATTTTTTTATTTTGTTTTTTTATGTGGTGCTGAGAATCAAACCCAGTGCCTCACACATCCTAGGCAAGCGCACTAACCACTTGAGCCACATCCCCAGCCCCATCGGAGACCACAAATCTTAATCCTGTCTGGACACGTGAAAAAGAACCCAGGTTGAAGTATTTGTTCACAAAAACACCCAGATCGAACTGGGAATGTGTGACTCAGTGGTAAAGTGCCTGAGTTCAATCCCCAGTGCCACAAAAAAAAACAAAAAACCCACCCAGGTTTTTAGTAGGAATAATTCAAAAACAAAGAATTCTCACAAATCCAAGTCTCTTTATTTTTTATTTTTTTTTAGTTGTAGATGGACACAATATCTTTCATTTTATTTATTTTTATGTGATGCTGATGGAACCCAGGGTCTCGCATGTGCTAGGTGAGCGCTCTACCACTGAGCTACGACCTAAGCCCACAAATCCAAGTCTTAATCATCATTCTTCCCCCAGAACTGGGGACTGAAATGCATATTAGGCAAGTGCTCTACCACTGAGCTAACATCTAGCCCCAGTAACTTTTCCATAAAGTACACTGCTTGCTGTACATATTTATAAAGCTTTTGACAATCTCAAGAATGACTACCAAAGATATATTTCTACCCATCAGAGTAAAAATAAGACTACGCAAAATCGAATGAAAACAATTGTATCTCATGCAACATGAAATATGTTTATGATCAGTAGTCTGATCTGGCAGTCACACTCCTCTTTGTAAATATATTACTGTTTAGAATTAGATTAAAATCTCAACCTCTGTTCTCTATTAATATTAAAGACTATAAATTTATTAATTTGCTACTTTACTACTAATAATAACTACAACCTCTGGACGCCAGGTAAGTCATATCCCATTACATAACACATCTTTCAAAGATCTAGGATTCTTCCCTTTTGAAAACTCATCTTTGAGATTTATTATTCAAATTGACAATAAACTCATAAGGAAATCAAATGCCAAGGAAGATAACTTAAATTTCTGAAAGTTAGTTGGCTGAAAGTAAACAAGACAGTCATTCAGATTTCAACTTTTATTATTGAAAATTTTTTAAAACATAAACTCACTAGGTTGAGTGCTTGCCTTTCATGCACAAGGCCCTGGGTTCAATCCCCAGCACCACCAAAAAAAAAAAAAAAAACCTTTCTCCCTTGAGTCATAGGGTACACACGTTTTAATCCTCCTTTGAAGAACAGGGAAGTACCTGAGGGTCACTGTGATCAGTGACTTCTGTACAATGTTGTAGGAAATGGAGATTAACCTGGAAGTATACCAACCACAATCCATATCCTGGAAATTACTTTTTAATTAAATCTGATATAACTTCTTGCATAACTTTCCCCCATTCTCCTAAAACAATCAGGTTTATCTGAGGATTTATCACATGGTATTAAACCCAATACTCTGTTCCCTGAAGTTTTAACCACATTTGTTAAAGGGAAGGGGAAAAACAGGCCCTAAGGCTCTATAGAAAATATGAGTGGTGGGGGTGGAACAAGGATAAAAGATTGTATAACCCACACAAATAACAAAAGTAAACAAATTAATTATTTAATTTCAAGTCATATCTTATTTTTAAGTTTATGTAATGAAAACTATTTTAACTGGTTTATGTATAATTTCCTGGTATCTGTGGCAATATCAATATATTTTAAGAAAAGAGATCACAGTGACCCATTTCCAACACCATAAAGGCTAATGGATGATCCCAACAAAGAACTGGTAGTAAGGATTCCAGACAGACCAAGGGAAATGGGAAATCCTATTCCTGCAAAGTCTGATAAGTATGCTCTACTTCTGCTCATTCCTGTCAGCTTTCCCTGACTAGAATAAACATTAACACTAATTTTCATATACTCAAATTCTGTAGTCTCAGAAGTAGATTATATACACTTGCCTTCTTCTCAAGCCTATTTAGGTGGACCATAACACTCTCACACCTTTTACCAGGCCACAAAGATGTACCGGGCAAGGTGATTTTGAGAGCAGAGCATCAAAAGTTTAAATTTTTATCAACTTAAAGACAGGAAAGGGACGACTAACCAGAGAATTATTTTATAGGCAATGAGAGGGTAGACAAAAAAACTGAGATGGAAGAAAAAGCAGATAGATTTTCTCTATTTCTACTATAAACCCAGTGGGGATCTTCCCAAATACAAAAACATATGATGACTACAATGATTCAGCACTCAAATGTAGTATACGCCTTTTACTTTAATACTTTTGAAAAACAAACTTGAGTGATCATTAAATAAAACTTAAGCATTACACACTCAGTACTCAAGTGTTAAAATTACCTACATATTATCCAGTTTTCAAGGAAATGCAATAGTGTTAAGTATGAAAACTATAAAACACAGGATATATTTCAATTAAATTCTAGCAAAAAAAAAAGAAAAATGCTACATCTTGTACATAATGTTAACTCTAATTTTATCAATATTACCAAACTTAAAAATAGTACCATAGGGCTGGGGATGTGGCTCAAGCGGTAGCCCGCTCGCCTGGCATGCGTGCGGCCCGGGTTCGATCCTCAGCACCACATACAAAGATGTTGTGTCCACCGAAAACTAAAAAGTAAATATTAAAAAATTCTCTCTCTCTCTCTTTAAAAAAAAAAAAAAGTACCATAATAATAAAGTACACTTATTTGTTCATCCTTCCAAAATAAAAATGGCTGGATTATCATCACATTATTATTGTATACTAATACTTCTTCATTTTTACTCATTGTACTCAAAAAATTTAACTTGACATTTAAAGTAACAGTTTAGGGGCTGGGGATGTAGCTCAGTGGTGGAGCACATGTTCAACATGCATAAAGCCTGAGTTCAATCCCCAGTACCAATAATAATCATTTATCTGGAGGAAAAAAATTCAAATATAGCACTTTGGATGTAGCCAAGTATACAGTCAAATATAATTTACCACCAAATCTACACAGTATTGTGAACAGAAGAATGGCCCTACAGTAAATATATATATATATATAATATATATATATAAAATATATATATATATGTATATATAAAGTTTTAATAAAGTCTTCCTACTGTTAAGTATATCCCGGCACCAAAAACAATTAACAAGGAAAATTCCTAACAATTTCAAAACAGAAATCATTTTAATGAGTAAGCAATTATTTTTTAAAACAAAAAAACAAGATCCATTTGATTATTTATATTACTCTGAATTTTCATCTTCTCACCCTTAAATTTCAACTTCAGGCTGAACTCAGAAAGAAACAGATACTCATTTATAGTTTTATAAGAATTACTTTTCAAATGCAATTCCTTTTTTTTTTTTTAGTTGTAGATTCACACAATATCTTTATTTTACTTTTTTATGTGGTGCTGAAGATTGAACCCAGTACCTCACACATGCCAGGCAAGCGCTCAACCACTGAGCTACAACCCCAGCCCCTTCAAATGCAATTGTAATTATTTGATGAATCTAGTTCATAAAAGTCAATGTTTTTAACAGTGAAACATTTTTATGATCATCCGCAATTCCCAGGATAAACACCGTATGTCGACTCCTTGTGGTTATCATATAGTTAACAATTTAACTACACATGAAATTTTTAAGAACTAGTTTTAGTCTAGAAAAATCATATTTTTCATATATGATACATAGTATTCTGCAGATACAGCCAAATGTTACCAATATGCAAAAACACTCATCTACAAAAAAGGCCTTCCCACAGATTTATAGATTTCACACCAAAAGTGTAGGAAAAATCAATACAGTTAATGAAACTACCTGCTCCTAGGAAGACTTTCGCCTAGGGGCAAAGTTCTACTGCAGGAAAAGTCAGGCTAAGAATCTAAGTAGGAGTAGGTCTTCCTTCTATTTTTGCCCTCTACCTGCACAGAGAGACAACATAACATCATTAGTTAAGAATACAAACTCTCAAACTGGCAGGATTTTAATCTCACCTGTGCCTCTTAATTGCTGTGTGATTTGGGGAAAATCACTTAATCTCTGTGCCTCAATTTCTTCCTCTGTAAACAAGGTGTTAAGATTACATGAGTTAATTCAAGTTAAATGCTTAGAACTGTAATTAGCATACAGTAAGAACTCCTTACAAATCCATAAGAAAAGTCCAGAGGAAAAAAAGGTTTTTTTGTTTTGTTTTTGGTACTGGGGATTGAACTCAGGGGCACTAAACCACTAAGCCACAACCACAGCTCTATTTTTTGTATTTTATTGAAAGACAGGGTCTCACTGAGTTGCTCAGTGCCTGTCTCGCCATTGCTGAGGCTGGCTTCCAACTCTCGATCCTCCTGCCTCAGCCTTCAGAGCTGCTGGGATTACAGGCGTGCACCACTGAGCCCAGCAGAATAAAAATAAGTTTTCTTTTCTTTTTTTTTAAAAAAAGTAAAGGGAAAAAAATAACCAGAACCAAAAACTAGCAGCTAATATTTATTTGAGCTTCTACTGTGCGCTAGGCATTGTGTTGGCATTTAATTAGGAACAATCTTGCAAGGTGGTCTCACTGATCCCATTTTAAATAATGAGGAACAAGGTTCAGAACACACAATTTAAAGTCATCCAAAAAATAGCAGAGCCAGGATTGAAATTCTGCAGCCAATTTCAAATAAAACTGTTTTTCCATTTATTCTACAGTCTTCATGTGAAACAGAAAACAAAAGGCAAAAGTGTAACCACTAACTTATTGTGTGCACTGGAGGGAGGACAGGAATTGTGAGCAATATTTCTTTACCTCCTTTTATGGAAAAGTTAAGTAACTGACCTTTCCCTTTTCAAATGTAAACAATTTGTATTCTCACTAAAAATTCCCCATTAAGCATTCTCCCACAACCTATCTAAAAGGATAATTTGGGGGTAGAAAGACTATTAAGTGTTTAGTTGGGAGTGGCAGGGAAGAAGATGATAAGATTATTTTAAAGACAATATATAACAGGAAGAAAAATGTGTTTATGGTCCTGTTACTTATTTTAAAAATATGGCTACAATTACAGGTTGGAGGAACAGGTAGAAAAAATCAAAAGTACTAAATAAAAGTCAAGGTTTCCTTTTCCAATAAAAAAGCTTGAAACAGAAAATGCATATACATATGCAGGTTATGGCCAGAAAATATAAGGAAATGTTTGCAATTTCAAATGTTAATCCAAAACAAAACCCTCACAGTATTCTTTTAAATTATAATCTTTACAATACTTATTAGGACTTTGCTGCTTATCATTCTTGCACTGTAACAGTTAAAATTAACTTTTCTTTAAGAGGCAGTGTTCAACTACTGGGTCAAATGTGGAATAATGTGCTACATAAGTATTTTAAACAATGAAATATAGTGTCAATCCACCTAAAAAAAGTCAGAAATATTTTTTATACATGTAGATATTCAAGTGGTTCTGTAGAATTTCCCTCACAGATTTTTAAAGAAAGTATCCCATTAATGGAAATTTAAACAATTTTCTCTTCACTACCAACATAGTGAAATCTCACCTCAAAAAAATAAATTGGCTTTCCTTTCATTTTTCTAAAGAAATTTCCAATTAACACTATTGAGAAACAAACAACAACAACAAAAAAAAACTCAGTTAAATGTGATTTTTAAAGGTCCATAGGTACCTCATTTATAATGGCTAGCATTCAACAATTATACAATATTTTTTCATAAAGATAATAAATGATCCCTGAAAAATAAAATCCAATTCTAAGAATAAGAATACCCAAATCTTAAATAGAAATATTAAGATCCTATTAATAATAAGCACTCTAAATATTTATTAAAATATAACAAGAAAATGGGCTGTGTACTTTAGCAACCTATCTCTGTGCTCAGTTAGAAAAGAACCATTTAAAAGTAAGGTCTTTTAAATTTTTTTTACAATACATAAAAATGGTCTAATAATTCTCAGTGACTAGATACTAATTATATAAAACCAATTCAAAAAAGTCATGAAAGATTATTTTAGAGGCATTTTTCCCCTTGCATTTTTGCTTCTATGATATACACCTAAAGTGGCTAGGTAAACCAGATAGTCAGCCTGTTTCTGTCCACAAAGCAACTGAATCATATTTGGAACTATTTCTCTTCATCAAATGTCAAGGCTAATACTATTGCAACTTTAAAAACCACACATACTGAAATTTAAAAGGGGGCTTTCCCCCAGATTTTCCTTATGCTTAATATGAGGCCATAATCAAAACAGCCATTTGACTCAAATGAATTTTTAAATTTAAAACTTAAAAAAACAAAATTCACAGTGTTAATTTTACTTTCCAACTTTTTTACCAAATGCACAAAAGTGTTGTAATTTTCAACCATACACTAAATGCTTATTTCAGATCATTTTATATGAAACAACTGCTGCTTTTCAATATAAGAGAGAAATCAGACTCCACACCTGTACTTGTGCTTGCTGAGTTTAGGAGAGAGGGAGGGATGGGGGTTGGTGGGGAGATATAAATGTGGAACCAGAGACCATGCTTCTAACCCTTGCTCTGCCACATACTAGCTCTTAACCTACCTTGGTCAAATTATCTAGAACCACTACATTTACATCTCCAGATATCAAAATAATGGTAGTAATAACTATTTCATAAGTGGGAGTAGAGAATAATTTTAACCTAAGAAGCACACAGTATCTTCTCAAATGTCAATTCCCCCCCCCCTACAGGCCCAGTTTTCTGCATACAGACATTAAACTCAGAACAACCACTAGAACATATTCAACAAATCTATGAAAGAGGTTTTGGTGTGTTGTTTTTATTAACCATAGTGTAGGAAGGTAAACTAGTTTTTATTGAACATAGTCATCACAAACAGAATTCAGAACAGTACACATAAGCTAAATGGCAAATAAAACTTTAAGGGTCTTGTCTTTTAAAAGCTGTTTTAAAAATAATTATGATATTGTAATAGTTCACTAAGTGTCGGTAGAAACAAAGACCCAGAATCCCTCAGTGAATTCCCATCTCTATTGGAAAAAGCCAGTATCTTCTCAATGCTCACCTTGTACCCACTCCCTAGCACTCATAGCTCATTTGCTCCATAACCCTATATTACAATTTACACACTGAGCTACAGTCACAGATCTCACTATTCCTCAAATTCTCTCCATCATATTTTTACATAGTTTAGTCCCCTCATCTCCTTAGTATGCTCAAAATTCACATCTCCAGTGTTACACGATTTTGCAACACCACTTCCACCACACACCAGCATTCCCAAACCTTTTCCTAAACACTTTGTTTTCACATAGAACCTAATACCTTCTAAACACATTAAAAAAGATTATATACTTTGTTATTGTCTTTTCCTATTAAAAATGTAACCCTCACCAGAGCAGGGATTACTGTTCAGTGATATGTGTATGTGCATATGTGCGTATGTGCGTGTGTGTGTGTGTGTGTGTGTCTGTGTGTGTTTAACACACACAATCTCTTAAGTGCCTTGAAGAATGTCTAGCACATAATGAACATTTAATAAACAACCAATGAAATCAATCAAGGCCCTCCTTTACTTGTGGATGTGCAAAGAAAAGTAAAGCAAGTTCTGAAAAGAGAACCTGGAACAGACTTACACATTTGGATTTATAAGTTCTGATTTCTGTAGAAAATATAAACTTAAATTTCAAAGTTCACACATTTATAAGAAGCCATTAAAAATACAGTAATTAATAACATTAACCACCTGTTAATTTGAATTTTGTTACTTAACACATTCACTATAATACTAAGGTTTTCCTCTGTTTGATGTTATTTCAAACGCAATTTTCAGCCATATTGCTAGATTTCATGTAATTTAAAAGATTTATTTAGATGTACCACAAATGGGGGAAATGGAGGCCAAGAGAAAATAGTTTTCAGTTCTGTAACAATCTTACAAATTTGAACCTAAAAACCTCCTTCAGCCTGAATTTCTTCTTCTATAAAAGTAGGGAGGAGCAAATGAAATGATTTTTGAGGCCACTTCAGGTCTTGAAATTCTGATGCTGGGTGTATAAAAACCTAACAGCTTACACAACCTACACACACATTTAATAAAAATTATTACAATCATAAAATTGTAAACTGGGTAGAACTTTAGAAATCATCAAATCTGACCCTGCCCTATTACAAATGAGTAAAAAAAGCAATCGAGAAGTTTTGAACACTTTTTAGAAGATTATAATATCAAGGGGCTGGGGTTGTAGCTCACTCTGCCTACCATGTGTGAGGCACTGGGTTCAATACTCAGCAGCACCACTCTAAAATAAATAAAAGTATTCTGTCCCATCTACCAAAAAAAAAAAAATCTTTTAAAAATAATATCATATGGTCTTGTTTGGGGGTTATTTTTGACACATGTGATAGGATGAGTAAGCTGACTAATTTTTTTTCTTATAGAACATATTTCAGATGTCCCATCATTTAAGTTTATTCTAGAATTGACACTAATATGTACTGTAGAAATAGGCTGCACTACTCACATCAAAAATTTAAGATTGGCCCAAAAACTATCTAGACAGTTATAAGTTTATAATAAAATAAATTTTTATGGACCCATGTTGAGTTTCTAAATTAACAATGGCATACCAAGACAATCCTAGTGATATGAAGGGAGTTCTGCCACAGTGTTCTAAATTAATGGTACCTTGTCACCACCAGTATAATTACATGACTTATGGATAAGTTCCAAAACCACCTAATTGAAAATTAACCAAAAAGACAAAAGCTTACACGAAGCTCCAACCCAAGCTGAACTCTTTATCTGAATCGCATTAATCCTGAAAACCTGAACAAGTGATGAACATCAACATGGATGATCTGGAGACTATACTAAACTATACTACTGAACAATTCAATGCTCTTAGTATTTACCAGAGAATTGCATTTCATTATTTCAAGCTTTTTATACGCAACTGAATGCGAAGAGTTTGGAAGCTCTTGGAGTTTTATTTATTGAAATTCCTGGTGGAACTCTGAACTTACATCGTACTATCCATCCAAACATTAACCTGTACTTCATAGGAAAGTTTTCTTACAAATCGTAAAGTTTTATGAAACTTATCAAAGAACAGAACCCTGAATATGTGGCAAACTAGACCACTTATCCATACAGGACACCAAAATACTGACAAGTTGGGATGTTAGGGCTAGATATTAGTCGGTCAGCGAAAATAACGCACTAAAACCAAAGACACTGAGGCATTCCTTTAACACCGGAGCGCATATACACACTCCTCAAAGAGGCCTTTATGTTCCCCATAAGCAAAAGGACAATATCATTTTTACTATTCATACAGTAACCTGCAAGGAATTCCACTCAAGCTCAGACTGTAAAATGCCAAACATCGCTTCTGAAAAACAAAGAGTGTGCAACAGAGTCAGATACGTAATTACCAAAGTAAACAATGTGATTATAAGGGTCTTTAAGCTTGGAAGACTTTTACCCCCCAAACGAAAAAGGGGAGTAACTTGATAAACTGTTTTTTAAAAATCACAAATGGTCCTTAACTGCTATAATAAAGCCATTACTCCTCCCACCCCAAGCAAATAAAATAGGTACTCCAAAGGCAGCAAGTCTGTTTTCCCTAATTCTATGAAATGAGAACAGGTTGCACTTCCGTACCCCCCTCCCCCAAGTTCAGTAGTCTCCCTTGTTTTCAGTAGAGAGGTAAATATAACCTCCACCAACTGGCCAGTTAAACTCTTCTTTCCCCAAAGCATGGGACGCATAGGGAAATGATGGAGAGGGGAAAAGGTCTGATACCCCGCCCCAAGCAAAACTGCCTGGGAGACTTGAGGGGTGCCAGAGCCCGGAGTGGAGGAGGGAAAGAGGCGCCGCCAAAGTCTTGCCTTCTCCCGGGCCGGGCAGAGAGGGAAGCCCCGGCTCCGGGGCGGGAGGGAGGCTCCTCACCGGGACCCGGGACCCCAGTCCCCAGCCAGACACAATGGAGCCGGCGAGGGGGCCGGGCAGGGGCAGGGCCGTTGCCCCCTCCCCTCCCCCCGCCCCAACGCCTCCCCCACCCGCGCCGGGCCCGGGCGAGAGGCACCAGGGCCGCTCCCCGCGCCCCAAACTCCCTGGGTCTCCAGACTAGGCCCGACTCCGCTCCGCCTCCTCGGCTCTCGCGTAGCGGCGGCGTCCGGGCGGGAAGGGGCAAAGGAGGAAGGGAGAGGCGGGAGGAGAGCCCCCGCCCGGGAGCGGGACGGAGGCCGCGGGCCGAGGCTCGGGGCTACGGGGTCGCCGCGGGGCGGGGGGCAGAGGGCAGCCGGGGCGGGGTGCGCGGCAGCGCCTGGCCCCAGCCGGCGGGGCGGGCGGGCGGCGGGCGGCCGCAGTGCCTCACCATGTTGGTGTCCTCCAGGCCTCTCCCCTCCTCCTCCGGCTCCGCAGCGAATGGACGGCGGCGGCGGCGGCGGCTCCTCTCACGGGCTCGCCGGGCTCCCGCTCATGCGCAGTGCGGAGCGGCCCCGGCGCGGCCCGAGGAGGCAGCCCCGGGCCTCAGGAGGCGGAGGGACGGGGGCGGGCAGCGGAGCCGAGCGCGGGGCTTCCCCGGGCGCGGGGGTCCCCGGGGCTGGGAGCGCGGGCGGGAGAGAAGGAGTGGCGGGCGGCGCACGCCCTCCGCGCGCCGGCATCCTCCCGCCACGCCTGCCGGTCTCCAGCGCGGCGGGGTGGGGGCGCCGAGGGACATCCCACCTCCGCTTCCTACTCGGCTTCTTCCGCCGTCGGACCGCGGCGGTTGGTTCTACACCGGCTCAAAGGTGCGATGGCCATTAACTTGAGAAGCTGGGGGCGACTGAAAGGGATGAATGAAGCGCTTGATCCATCCCAAACCACCCCTCCCCATCAGTACACAAAAAAAAAAAAGAGTGAGGAGAAAGAAATAATGAAAACACTATGTTAGTGCCCCAACTCCCTGTTCCAGTATCTAGACTGCATCAGTTCACCCGCGTAAATATGCCAGGGAAGATCTTAATCTGGCCCTGTGTGAATCCTAAAATCCTTTAGGATGGGACAGTTTCTTCCCAGACCTAAGGGCCAGGAAGACCTTTAGGATAGCCCTAGAGTTCTGGGGGAGGATTGGGCAATTGAGGCCCCGCGCATGAGGGCCTGCTGACTGCTTGCTCAAAATTGCCCCTCAGTTCAACCTTTCCAGGATAAGTTTTGGAAGAATTTACAGGACTTTTTTTTTTTTCCCTGAGGGTAGATGTCACCAGGTGGACAGTCCAAATGTGACCTAGCATAGGTTCTAAGTCAGCTGGGGCAGAAGAGCACCAGGATTGTGAGCTGGGGATCTAGTGAACAAATAAGTGGTGCAAGGAGTACGAAAGACTCATTTGGAGTAGTCCCTATCCTTAAAAATATGTCTCTGTTGGAGACTAGTCACCTTCCCATACAAAAGAAGGAAATAAGAAAGGTAATATAGCAAACCTACTCATAAAATCATATCTAAGACTTGAGGCAAGAATTTGTTTCATAACAAGACCAACTGGTGTAGACCTGTTGTCATTACCAAAATTGTCCTCCCCCCACCCTAACACAGGCATGTCCTTTCAGATCCCCCATATCTTAACAACTCTGAATTTCTTATCAAATCAACAATCAAAAAAAAAATTTGTGAGGGCCTCCTGGAACCAACCGTATATTGAGAGCCCCCTAGGCTCCACCAAGACAGACCTTTGGCACCCGCAGACCATTCCTTCATTCATTCCACCAACATTTAGTATGTGCATACTAAGGTGGTAAACTTCTTGCTAATCTCTAGGAAGGCAGTTCTACAAAGACAAGCCAGATCTGCCTCATACAGCAAGCCTGAAAAAGAACCCCATCCATGGGTGTTCCCCAGGAATTCATCTAGCAACATAAAATATTCGGTTGACCTAAAACGTTAACATCTAGGATCTTAACAAAGAGGATTCACTGTATCTCTTAGCCAGCTGTGCTCTACTTCATTGAAGTATAATAGCTTGTGAGTTTTGTCAAGCTGTTTTTTTTCCAAATTGCCCGTGTCGAGGGACAGTTCTTAGCTTTCATTCTACTTCACCTCACTCCTACATTTTAAGGCTTCCTGTTCGAATTTCCATCATGTTTTTTCAGAACTCAATTTTCTACTTTCCTCCATCCTCTGTGACCACTGTCCTTTACTGGATGTACTCTTTGCCTTTTCAATGTTCAGCTTTCCAGAATCATCCCCAAATATCTTCCTGTATACACACAGTGTCATGTTCTCACATTCCTACAATGGCTAGTACTGCCTATAACTCAAGTAGCCTCATTTCCCCTACTTCCAGCTCCTAAGCAACAGACCTAATACTAGTCATTCCACAGGCTCCCTCAAGCTCAACAAATTCAAAATCTTATCCCTGAACCCTCTTTCCTCTGGTATTTTTACCAGATCATCCAATTTGGAAATCTGAGAATCATCCACAACTCTTTCTGTCTCATCTGCCTTGATCTAAGCTGTTAACCAAGTCTCATCAATTTCATCCCCTAAATAACTTCTAAATCTGCACCCTACCTTCTATCCCTTAGCCAAGTCTTTATCATCTCTTCCCCTCTATTCTCATCTTATCAGCTTACCTAATGTGGTCCCTACTCTTTTCCCACTGTATCAGAATTGTTTTTCAGAAATACAAATCCTAATTTGTTTCTTAAATTCTCCTAGGAATATCTCAGCATAAGCCTCTTTGGCAAGGCATAGATTCTCTCTTCTTATCTATCTATTCTTGCCATTCCCCACTACCCTCTACACAACTGCAGCTCATGTTTCAGTTTTAAATAGCCAAACCTACATATTTCTTGATATTTCCTTGCTTTCACTCATTCTGCTTTCCGTGGCATACTGGCTAACCCTGACAGAGTTTTCTATAAGTCATACACTGTTCTAAGCCCATCACACACTTATAATTCTCAATTCCACCCTCTGAGCTATGCCTCGTTTTTATGCCCATTTTACAGAGGAAGAAACTGAAACAGAGAGATTAAATAACATGCCTAAATTTCCACAGCAAGTAAGTAGTAGAGCTGGAATTTAAATTCAAACAATCTGACTAAAATCTATTCTCTTAAGCACCACAATGTATTTCCTACCAAGACCTTAGTAATCAACTTAAAGACGGTCTTCTCTGTGATTTTCTCCTGACTCATTTCTGGGCTCCAGCAGTTGGGCATGTTTCTCCTTCAGTACTTCTATGACACCTTGTATATACTTCCATTACACTTATGACATCATATGATAATCATTTGCCTCCATGACCACCTCCCCTGCCAGACTCTGCACTGCTCCAGGGCAGAGACCTGAGTGTATACATATTTTGAGTTTTTAGTATAAAGTGAGGTCCTGACCTATGTAACATATGTGCTACAGAGTAGTAGTTGGATAAATAAAAGAAAGAAAGGTCTTAAGACTAGCTAGGGCTGAGAATATGGATATGGCCCAGTGGGAAAGTGCTTACCTAGCCCGAGCCAGACCCTGGGTTCAATCCCCAACACTGCAAATAAATAAACAAAAAGACTGTGCCTATATGGTTATTATAATGGAATTTCTGTCCTTGGCAGATGTATGTTGTACCATATGGTCAGATGGTGAATGTAGTAGCGACTGTACCCATCACTGCACTTCCTAGCTACAGTACTGAATGTGAAATGGAGAATTATTACTCAATCGTCATTACTTGTTAAAATTGTCCTAGTTATTTTTAAAATGGAAAAGAGTCCTGAAGATAAAGCATACATTACAATGTTTGATTAACAAAAGGATATTCATTAACATGTTCTATTACTTTTTATGAGGTTTCAAATACTTAGGTTAAGGTTTTGCATTTTTTCAAGTACAGAATTTCTAAAGATTATTTTTATAGTAACAATCTCAATACAACAATAAGAATTAAGATGGAAACATCTCACTGAAATCTACTCTTCTCCTTTCTTTTTCTCCCCCCCCCACAAACATACATACACATACATATTCACTGTACACTTACAGTGACAAACTAATACAGAGTATTTGTAGATATGTGATATTTCAAAGTAAAACTTCTAAGTTGAAAATAATTATTGTTGCAAAAGCTTAAAAATTCACATTAGTAATATTCACTGATAAAATAGTTTTAGTTCTATTTCAAGCAACAAATAAAACTGAGGATTCTATACTTTCAGAATCTATCTTTAGCAGAAAGGAAGAGCAGAAGAAATCTGAAAAGACAGATTGCTGACATTTCTGGTAGTTCATCTAACTAAAATTAAGCTGCAGGGTTAGGTATAGTTCAAAGGCACTAGGGATGCATAGCCGCCAACCTCTCACACTTCACTTGGGTAGACTTAATTTTGCCCAATATTTACATTTACATTAATAGAGTCAGGCTTTCCTACTTATAAATATGTAAATGAGATTGATCAATGGAACTTATTTTGGTTGGAGTATAACATGGCATTTACATCTTATCAATCCAGCATTATAACTTCTTTTATTTTTTTCATGCTGGAACTTATACATTCTAAGCATACACTCTACCACTGAGCTATCCCCTCAATCTCCAGAATTATAACAGTTTCTCCTTCTTCTCCTTTTTCAGTGCTAAGGATCAAACCAGGACCTCGTGCATGCTAGACAAGTGCTCTACACTGAGCCATATACTCAGCCCTACAACAATTTTTTAAAGATTTTTTTTTAGTTGTAGATGGACACAATATCTTTGGGTTTTTTGTTTGTTTGTTTGTTTGTTTTTTATTTTTTTGTTGTTGTTGTTTTAATGTGGTGCTGAGGATGGAACCCAGTGCCTCACATGTGCAAGGCAAGTGCTCTACCACTGAGCCCCAGCCCCAGCCCCGCCACAACGATTTTTCAAAGGGTAAATCAGACAAAGTAGATCTCAGGGTCACAGGAAATCTCATGTGGAAGTCATAGACCCAAATTCATGCCCAAATAATCAGAGTGGGGGGTTAAAATCAAAAGTTTTCGACTTTCCCCCTCCCCAAA